GTCCAGGTTTGCCCTCAGTGGTCACTGTCCCCAGCAATTTCGCAGGGAATGTGTTCTGTCTTGGATATCAAGATGTCATGGGACTCCACAGACCAGTACAGCCTGAGACAACCAACCATTCACCCACAGCTGGGACAGACCCCTGACGAAGGAATAACCAGTCCAGGGTGAGGAGAGAGGGAAGGTTTTATATCTGTGGAGGCCCTGGCCAGCCCACCCATCCCTGGCCAGCAGGTGTCGCTATCAGTCTAACCAGGAACCTGTGATGTACTCAGCCACCCAGACCCACCCAAGCAGGCATCCATGGAATTCTCAACGCCAGAATTCAGCTTCCCAAGCCTCTGTAACTGCTGACATCTCCAAGTTCAGGCAATACAGGGCCAGGCAGGTGAACCTACTCCTGCCCTCCAGATAGAAGGCAGGGTGAAGTCCCTCAGGCTGGCAGGCCCTAAGACAGCTTCTCCCACCCGCTACCTCTTCCCACCCCATCGTTCTGCAGATGATGAAGACAGGCAGAGCAAACCTCTTTGCTAGCCATTGCTCGTGGCTTATTGACTTTGGGTCCTGGGCCCTCCCGCCCCAGGGCCTCCCTTCAGGCCCAGCACAGCTCAAACAGGAGACTTCAGGAACTTGGGGGCCATGTGGATTGGAGTCGGGTGTTACACCATGAACTGGGTAGCCAGGTCTAGCCCTACCACCATAGGAGGGAGTGTGTCTGTGTGTCTCCACAGTGTACTAGGATGTGCTTGTTTTTAAAGTTCTTTTGAAATTATTTTATTCATACATATATGTGAATAATATGAATATATAATATATATATTATATAGATTTTTGAGACAGGGTTTCTCTGTGTAGCTTTGGAGCCTATCCTGGTACTCGATCTAGAGACCAGGCTGGGCTTGAATTCACAGAGATCTGTCTGCCTCTGCCTCCCGAGTGCTGGGATTAAAGGTGTGCACCACCAACACCCAGCTCTTTTACTTATATTTTTGATGATCCCTTTTCTTGTTTTGTTTGGTTTTGCTTTTTTGAGACAGGGTTTCTCTGTCCTGGCACTCGCTCTGTAGACCAGGCTGGCCTGGAACTCACAGAGCTCTCTGCCTGCCTCTGCCTCCTGAGTGCTGGGAATACAGGTGTGTGCCACCACTTCCTGGCCTCCCTTTTTATCTTTATTGGTTTTTTTAAGATTTATTTTATTTATTATGTATACAGTGTTCTGCCTGCATTTGTGCCTGCAGGCCAGAAGAGGGCACCAGATCTCATTATAAATGGCTGTGAGCCACCATGTGGTTGCTGGGAATTGAACTCAGGACCTCTGGAAGAGCAGCCAATGATCCCAACCGCTGAGCCATCTCTCCAGCCCCTCCCTTTTTATTTTTAATATACATTGGTATTTTGCTTGCATGTATGTCTGTGTGAGGGTGTCTGATCCCCTAGAACAAGAGTTACAGAACAAATGTCCTCTGGAGGAGCAGCCAGTGTTCTTAACCTATGAACGATTTCTCCAGCAATGCCCCCCCCCTTTGAGACAGGATTTCTCTGTGTAGCCTTGGCTGTCCTGGCACTCGCTCTTTAGACCAGGCTGGCCTTGAACTCACAGAGATCCACCCGCCCAGTCCCTTGTTTAATTTTTCTATATGTGGGTATTTTGCCAGAATTTGTTTATGTGCCACATACATGCAGTGCCATGGAGGCCAGAAGAGGGCATCAGATCCTTTGAGAAACAGTTACAGACAGTTGTGAGCCACCATGTGGTTACTGGGAATTGAACCCCAGTCCTCTGGAAGAGCAGTCAGTGCTCTTAACTGCTAAGCCCCTATCTCTCTAGCTCTTATTTGGTTTTTCTTTTTAAACTGTCTAATATTTAATTTTGGATTTTTAGTTAGGGCCTCTCTACATAGTCCTGGCTGTCCTGGAACTCACTCTGTAGACCAGGCTGGCTTTGAATTCAGAGATGCTCCTACCTCTGCTTCCCCGGTGCTGGGCTTAAAGGCATGTGCCACCACGGCCCTGCCAGCCCTGTGTCTATGTGTATGGGGGGGGAGGGGGGTGTTCAAGTGACCTCGGAGGCCAGAAGAGAACATTAGAGCTCCCTGAAACTGGATTTTCAGAACTACCTGACCCACATGCTTGGGACTTTGAAAAGCAGTCAGTGCTCTTAACCACTGAGCCATCTCTGAAGCCCCCCATACTGTTCCCTCAAAGTCCAACCTCCAGTTGGCCCCCACCTCCTCAAGCTCCACAGGGCCAGACCACCCCAGGGTCGGGGATCCCAGCCAGTCTCTTGCCACCCTGGCCCCTGGGAACCACACTCTGACAGAGCCAGGAACAGTGAACATGCAAAATTGTCAAGTGCAAGAGGGTGAGCAGAAGGGCCACTGCTGGGGTAAGGCTACCTTCTGGAACCTTCCTCATGCTGTAGGCAAGGGAGCCAGGATGTCAGGTCTCCTGAGAAGGTTGAACCTTTGTGGAGAGGGGGGCTTCCTGCTGCGCCAGGAGGACTTCCTTCTTATAGGACAATGGGGGGAAGAGGGGTCGGAGTGAGGACAGGAGGTGCCCCAAGTGCCACAGAGAACACAACAGAATCTGGCTGGCCTTTGGCCTTGCTGGGGACAGACAGCCCCTGGGGCACCAGTGTTCCAGGACCCTGTGCCCTTACTGTCTCCACCTGTGTCTGTGTCTCTGACCCTGTTTTTGTCTCTGTGTCTCTATGTGTCGGTCTCTTAGACTGTCTCTCTGATCTTCATCTTTCTCTGTCTCCATCCCTGTCTGTCCTCTGTCCTTCTCTGTCTTGTGTCATGTCTCTGACCCTCTCTGTCATGTGTCTCTCTGTCATGCCTCTGTCCCTTTCTGTCTCTGTCCCTCTCTCTCTAGCTCTGTGTCATGTCTCTGTCCCTCTCTCTCTGTGTCTCTCTGTGTCATGTCTCTGACCCTCTCTCTGTGTGTGTCATGTCTCTGTCCCTCTCTGTGTCTCTCTGTGTCATGTCTCTGTCCCTCTCTCTGTGTGTGTCATGTCTCTGTCCCTCTCTGTGTCTCTCTGTGTCATGTCTCTGACCCTCTCTCTGTGTGTGTCATGTCTCTGTCCCTCTCTGTGTCTCTCTGTGTCATGTCTCTGTCCCTCTCTCTGTCTCTCTGTGTCATGTCTCTGTCCCTCTCTCTCTCTCTCTGTCATGTCTCTGTCCCTCTCTCCTCTGTCCCCCCTGTTTCTCTCAGTCCCCCCTCCCTCCTTCCCACAGCTTGTCCCCTCTACACTGTGTCCCTGGCCCCACTCTCTCTTCCCCTCCATGAACAGGATATGCCTTACTGTCTTTGCAGGTGGAGTCAGAGCTGAGAAGAGTGTCCCTTAAGAGACCTTCAAGGAAAGCAGGGACCACGCCTGCAGCCCACAGTGCCAGGCCCCTGCTGACCCCTCCCCACCTGGCCTTGGTATAGCAGGAAGCCAGGTCAGGGGCTGGGAAGCAACCCATTCACCAGGCCCGCTGCCCCCCACCCGGGTTAAGGGCCCAGCTTCCCGGGAAGGGCCTATGTCTTGGAGTCACCTTCCTGCACAGCTTCCGGGCCCTTGCCCATGCTGGGTGGAGGAAGGGGGGATGGGTCCTAGGCAACCAGTCCTGAGTCCACACACCTGAGCCTCGTGTTCACTACTCTTTGTGCCTCAGTTTCCCCATTGTGACACCCTCCCTCACACACCCTGCCACAGGTGCCTCCGTGTCTAAGAAGAGCCTGACAGTCTGCATTCTGCATATGGTGGTCATGGCAGGAGCAGACAAGGTCTCACCCTGTCTGTTAAGGTTTCTGTTGTGAGAAAATACCATGACCAAAAGCAAATTAGGGGGGAAAGTATTTATTTCAGCTTACACTTTCAGATCATTGTCCTTCAGGAAGGGAAGCCAAGTCAGGACCCTGGAGGCAGGAGCTAATACACAGGCCATGGAGGGTGCTACTTAATGGCTTGCTCCCCATGGCTTGCTCAACCTGCTTTCTTATATGTGCCTGCCCACATCAATCATTAATCAAAAATACACTCCCACCATCCAGCCAGGAGGTGGTGACAAATACTTTTAAGCCCAGAAATTGGGAGGCAGAGGCAGAGGCAGGTGATCTCTGTGAGTTTGAGACCAGCCTGGTCTACAAAGCAAGTTCCAAAACAGAGAAACCCTGTCTCAAAAAACAAAACAAAAACAAAAAAATGTCCCCAAAGGTTTGCCTACACACCAATCTAGTGGGGGCAGTTTTCTCAACTGAAGTTTTTTCTTCCCAAACCCTTATGTCAAGTCACCAAACCCTCAGCCAGCTCATGCCCCATGTTGAGTGGAGACAAACTTCAAGTATCTGCAGACTTGACCTCCATGGGAGCCTCAGGAAGGTGGTGGGGCAGGAGGAGGTGTCTTGGAAACTGGAGAGAACAGAGCAATGGTGCAAAGGCAGGACGGGCACATGACTCTAGCCTTCCTTCTCTGGGTGTTGATTTAAAGAGGTGTGTTCTCAAAAAGGGTCTGGGCCAGGAGGGAAGCATGGGAGGGACAGTATGGACACTTGAAGGAAAGTGGGAGAGAACTCAAGGGAGTATATGAAAGAGATTCTCAGAACGCAGCAGTAAGGCCCAGGATTTACCACAAACACATCAAAAACAAGCCAGCCCCAGACCCCAGGCTCTGTCAGGCCTGCAAAGTCTTATGCAATGAAAGGGCACAGACTCGGGGACAACTGGTGACTTGTCCCAGACACTGACACATCAGGTAGAACTCAGTTCCAGGAGACCCCCACCCCCACCCCACACTGGTGCACATGGCCACAGGGGATGCCCTCCGTCCAGAATGGGGCCAGGCCCCTCTGCCACTCTCATGTGGCCACCTATGGAAATGAAGACAGGGCTCGAGTCAGCGGGGGCGGAGCAGTCTAGGACTGGCTGGATTCCATGCACTTGACCCACCATGGTGACCCCAGCTTCTAGCCTTAGCCTTCCCGTCCATAGAACTGGGGTCTGGAACCTTCCCAAACCTTCCCTGCCTGTTCGTTCCGACTGTGTTCCCGGGTCCCTGCCTCACCTCTGCCCTCATCTCTCTGCCTTCTGCGGAGTGGGGGTCGGCCTGGGAAAGCCCCCAGGGAAACTCCCACAGAGTACAGAGGAGGGGGAGGAGAGGCAGGGTCTCGAGACAGCGGGAAGCCGCCAGCCCACTGCTATTTAAACCGCTTCCCCTGGCAATCACAAGACAGAAGGGACAACATGAAGTCCAGCCTGGCCCTCCTGCTGGCCCTGGCCACGGTGCCCTTCCAGCTTGGCAGTGGTGAGCAGGGATGTGAGGAGGGTTGGGGGCTTTGACAGATGAGTTCCTATAAGGGAAGGGCTTTGGAAGTGCTGTGAAACAGAACTTTGAGAGGCTGCTCTGGGGGAGTGGGGCTCTAGTCACTCTCTAATCAAGGTCAGGGACCTGGGGCAGATGTCTAGATCCCTGGGGTCTCAACCTAGGGTCAAGGGTCAAGACTGAAATCTGGGACCCAGTCACCCCAACATGGATTTAATGCTGTTTCCCCCAGGCCAGTCCCTCCATGTGGATCCCCCTGAGCCTGAGGTGGCTGTGGCCAATGGCACATCCCTCCAGCTCACCTGCAGCATGTCCTGTGACAAGGATGTAGCCCGGGTGCAGTGGCATGGTCTGGACACTAACTTGGCCAATGTGCAGACCCTCCCCGGCAGCAGCATCCTCACTATACAAGGCATGTTGACAGACACGGGCACGCGCGTGTGTGTGGGCTCCTGTGGGGGCCAAAGCTTCCAGCACTACGTGAAGATCCTTGTGTATGGTGAGGCCCACTCTGCCCTTCTAAGTGCCACCTACCCAGGGGTATCAGAACCTTGCACCACACCAATGCCATCACCCACCAGGTCCCCACACCCCAGACCCACAGGCTGATATATCCACCCTTCCTGTCCTGGGCACCTAAGGCACATAGTTGCACCATCACCCCAAACCCTACCTTCTCTGCCTGGCCCAGCCCTGATCTCTAAACTCAGCCCTGGGCCCCACCTTTCATCCACAGCCTTCCCAGACCAGCTGGTGGTGTCCCCAAAGTTCCTTGTACCTGGAGAGGACCAAGAAGTATCCTGCACAGCCCACAACATCTTTCCTCCCGGCCCGGACATCCTCTCCTTTGCCCTGTTACTGGGAGAACAGAGCCTGGAGGGTGCCCAGGCCCTGGAACCCGAGCAAGAGGAGGAGACACAGGGAGCCGAGGTGACAACGCTGTTCCGAATGACACAGCGCTGGCTGTTACCCTCCCTGGAGACCCCTGCCCCTCCTGTCCTTTACTGCCAGGCCACCATGAAGATACTCGACCTGGTGCTGACCCGCAAAAGGGAGCTCCCAGGTAAGTCCTCTGGGTTCCACCTGCCTCTAGGCTCAGCTGCTCTGGAGCTTGGGCCAGGATTGCTTGTCCCCACCTGGACATTCCCATCAGAATCGGTCAGAGTATCTGCCCGATGAGGCAGAGAAAAGACTAATTCAAAAGATGAGGGCCTACTCTGTTCCAGCTCCAAAATGATATCTCCATCATTTTCTGTTCCCAAATTCTTTGCTTTGCCAAGGTCAGACTATCCTGAAAGACTAAGATGGGGGCCAGCACTCAGTAGGTGTCTTATAAACATTGTCAAGTAGACTCAAGGCAGGTCCCAGCATACAGTAGGTGTTCTACAAATGCTGGTTGAGCAGATTCATAGGATTTGGCACACCATAGGTGCCTTATAAACACTGACCAAGTAGACTCGAACTTGCACCCAGTAGGTACTTTATAAACAGTGGCCTAACCTTTAATCTCGGCAGTTGGGGGAGAGAAGCAGGTGGATCTCTGAATTTGAGGCCAGCCTGATTACAGAGTGAGTTCCAGAACAGCCAGGGCTACACAGAGAAACCCTGTCTCAAAAAGAAAAAAAAAAAATCAAAATGAATAAAATAAGCAGCAGCCTAGTAGACTTACATAGGACGCAATAAATTTTCTGCCTGTGTCATCATCTCCTAGCCCTAGCTACTATGATGCCCTGTGTCACTTAAGTGATAAGGGTGGGAAGGTGAGTGGAGGGTGGCAGGTTTTGTCCCAATACTGGGCTGCAGATGATGAAACTGAGGCAGGAGAGGGGCCCAAGGCCACAGGAAGAACCTTCTGTTTGCAGTCCTACAGAGCCGGACCTCACCAGAGCCCCCCACCACCACCTCTGCCAAGCCCTACATCCTGACTTCACCCCACACTACTGAGGCCAGCTCCACTGGGCTCCCCAACTGCACAACCCTGCTGTCTACCCCTCCTCATTCCACGCTTAGCCCTACGACGCTGAGCTACGCTGCAACTTGCCGTCCTGAAATCCATCAGGACCAGGAGTCGGCTGGCTGGAAGCTACTCTGCAAGGCCCCCTGTGGCCCTGGAGTGACTGTGCACTGGACCCTGGCTCCTGGCAACCTGGCAGCATACCACAAGAGGGAGGCCGGGGCCCAGGCATGGCTAAGCATACCACCCCCAGGTCCCATTCCTGAGGGCTGGTTCCAGTGCCGCCTGGATCCTGGGGGGCAGGTAGCCAGTCTGTATGTCTCCGGCCAGGTATTCTCAAAACCCTGTAAGTGCTGGGGACCTGGGAGGGATGGAAATATGGGACTAATATGCTAGTTGGGGCCAGTAGGTGGTGGTGCACACCTTGAATCCCAGCACTCAAGAGGCAGAGGCAGGCAGATCTCTGAGTTCGAGGCCAGCCTGGACTACAGAACTAGTTCCAGGACAGCCAGGGCTACACAGAGAAACCCTGCCTCAGAAGAGAGAGAGAGAGAGAGAGAGAGAGAGAGAGAGAGAGAGAGAGAGAGAGAGAGAGAGAGAGAGAGAGAGAGAGAGAGAGAGAGAGAGAGAGAGAGAGAGAGAGAGAGAGAGAGAGAGAGAGAGAGGAAAGAAAGAAAGAAAGAAAGAAAGAAAGAAAGAAAGAGAGAAAAATCAAACAACAAAACACTAGTTGGGTTTCTGTGCCATGCCAGTTTCCTGCTAAGTTCAATATGCTTTCCTGGCTGCTAGTCCACTTAGCCTTCGAGCACCTTGCAGATCCTGTGAAACAAAAGGTAAAGAGAATTTAAAAAAAAAAAAAAAGTTTTTTAATGTTTGTTTCACATGTCCCAGGCTGGCCTCAAACTGTGTAGATGAAGGTGACCCTGATCCTCTTGCCTCAGCCAGTGCTGGGGTAACAGGGGTGCTCCACTACACCTGTTTTAATGGTTGGATTTTAAAACATTAATTAGTTCGGAGTCCACTTTTAAACCATAAGGGCCTATGTACAGTTCCCTCAGTGAGGCCTGCAGGCACCGGGTCTCATGACCACCTCTCTCCTACTCTCTCAGCCTCCATCGTCACCCTCTGGATTGGCAGCTTGGCGTTGGGACTGCTGGCACTGGCCTTCCTTGCCTACCACCTATGGAAACGCTACCGACCAAGTCTTCCCTCAGATGCTGCCTCGTGCACACGCCTATGATGCCAGATGGTGCCAGACGAAGGGGGTCGGAGAATGACCAGCTGCTGGGTTTGGGCCAGTAAGATGGCAGAGAGTGGCCCCTTTTCTTGGTTGTCAGCACACCTACAAGCTCCTTCCAGCTGCTGGCCCAGAGCAGAATAAAGGTCCCATATCTGGCCACTGCTGTGTCCTGTCATACTGTGAAAATAGAGAAGCTTTGAGCATCTCTCAGACCTACAACCAGGGTCCCTGGAGACAGGCATGTATATCCCAGTCCATCTTGGTAGGCCCAAGCAGGAAGGAGGCAAGAGGATGGTAGGCTGGGAAATGCCTGTGCTTCACAAGAGTAACTAAGGAGATGCCCAGAGGCCTGAAAAAAAAGTACTGGGGGGGGGGGGGTGAGGAGTAGCCTGGGCAAACACGAAAGTGGAGTGTGAGGGGGGCAAGGGGAGGGAGGTAACAGAAGAGGGACGCGAGTGCGAGGGTACTACAGAGACACAGCAGTTCAGTTACTGCAAGAGCAAACCCCCTGGTGGACAGGAAGGGTAACTAACAGCCTTGGGAGGAAGGGCAATCCGGTGAAGGCTCGCTCGAGGAGAGCTAAACCTTTCAGAAGGAGACGAAGTGAGGCCAAAATCCCGGCAGAGCCCAAGCCGAGTCAGAAAAGGGTCTGAACCCCGCTATCAGTCCTAGATTCCCAGAGAACGAAGGCCCACACACGCTCCGCTGGGTTTCTCTGGTACCCAGGGAGCCTCGTTGCTAGGAGACCATGCTTATGAAGACCTGTCCACCACCAAGATGGCGAGCGATCGCGCTTCAAGCCACAAACCAAGCCCTTCCTGGGGGACCATTTTGAAGTCTGGCAAGCTCACGATTCCGGACCGAAGCCAAGAGATTCAGTCTCGGAGTGCTAGAAGAGATGCAAACAGAGAATGCCAGTTAAGGCACGGAGGGAAAGGTAGCCTGTGCCTGTCACTGACAAGACTCTCTCAGAGGACACGGCTGCCTCTACCCTTAACAAAAATGGCCGCTCAAGGAGAGCGCCTGGTCGCGCCGTGAACTATGGCAGCGCTTCCGGTCCCGCTGCCCTCAGCAAAGATGGCGGCAGTGGAGAAGCGGCGACTGGCAGTAACACCAGCGGCCAGTTTCGCGGACAGCGGCCGGACGACGGTGTCTCAGGCGGCGGCGGCGGCCGAGAGCGAGGAGGACTTCCTACGGCAGGTCGGCGTGACGGAGATGCTGCGCGCGGCCCTACTGAAGGTGCTGGAGACACGGCCCGAGGAGCCCATCGCCTTCTTGGCGCACTACTTCGAGAACATGGGCCTACGCTCGCCAGCCAACGGCGGCGCCGGGGAGCCCCCAGGCCAGCTCCTCCTGCAGCAGCAGCGCCTGGGCCGCGCGCTGTGGCACCTTCGCCTGGCTCACCACTCGCAGAGGTGCGGACTGATGGCGGGCGGGGTGCCCGGACTACAGCTCCCGACAGGCCCCGCGCGGGCTCAACCTACCGCTGGCGCGGGGCATATCCGGGAGTAGTAGTCTGTCCTCTTTCCCGGGGCCTGGTCCGCTTAGAGTTGTGTGGCATCCGAATTGCAGTTCCCGGCATGCTTCGCGTAGATTTCGGCAGCTGTGAGCGCGGGGTGTACTGGGAATTGTGGTCCTGGTAGGAAGTGTTGGGAGTTGTAGTCCATCTATTGCTGGCGCTTCCAGATGATTATGGCCTAAGGGGTTTTTACTTTTGAGCCCTGCCCAGGGTTTTGGAGGTCAAGAAGCCCAGCGACGACCTGCAGTCAGAGCATAAATAGCTGCGGTGCTTGTCTAGGATATGGGCAGCCTGTGTACTGAAGCTCCACCCTGAGCGCAGTCCTGACATGGCACCCGCAGAGCACAGGCTGGTCTAGAGCCAGGTGTCTAGAGCCAGGTGTGAACCTGCAGGAAGGCCTGTGGCTCGGCAGTTGGAATCGCTTCTGTGCCCCAGTGGGAACAGTCCCCCATGTAGAAGATGACTCAGGGACGCTCTTCCATAGTGGATAGGGGAATCTGATCAGTAGGTGTCATCAACCAGCTGATGACTGAGTGAGCTGGTGTCTGGCGTCTCAGCATGGAAGTGGCTTTACAAAGGGTGTATGGAGGAAGACTCAGAAGATGCTGGGTAGCAGTGATCCCGGCTTTGCCCAGGGGAGGCAAAGGCCAGAGATCATCCATTCCTGCTGGTTCCCTCCCGGAGTGCCAGAGAAGCTGGAAAGAGTGGGACAGAGTAGGGGTGGGTCTGAGCAAAACAGACATCTCTATACCAGGGGGAGAGGGCTCAGTGTCCCCAGATGATGGCCGGGAAGGGAAGGATGGGGCATGATGGGCTGATGTAGCAGGAGAGAGGGTTTACACACAGACGGTGGGAGGGACACAGGCACAGAGGCTGGGAGACCAGTGATTCTGGAAGACTGCTGGTCACTTGGTGAGGAACCCAAGCAAGAAGGTGGACAGAGTCTGCAGCTGAGACTGCTGTGGGTGTGAGCGGTGAAGATATCAGTGTGGCAGGCTTCCTTTCGGGCCACCAACCAGCTTCCAAAGCATGACACAGAGACTTATTTATTAGTTATGAATGCCTGACTCTAGCTTAGGCACGCTTTTTGATAGCTCTTATAACTTACCCTGTTTCTCTTCAGAGCTTTTTACCTTTCTTTCACTCTGTACATCTTACTTTCCTGTTTCCTCTGTGTCTGGCTGGCGGCTGCCTGGCTTCTGGCAGGCATTTCCCTCTCTTTCTCCCTAGTTCTCTCGTTCTTTTGTTCCTAGATTTCTCCTACTTACTCTCTCTGCCCGCCAGACCCACCAGTCCCTCTGTTGCCTAGCTATTGGCCATTCAGCTTTATTAGACCAATCAGGTGCCTTAGGCAGGCAGAGCAACACATTTTACATCATTAAACAAATGCAGTAGATACCAATGAAACACATCTTTGCCTAGTTAAAGTAATATTCCACAGCACATCAGCAGAGCACACAGGTCTACACCCTTGAGGTGCCCCAGGGAGGGAGGGAGGGAAGGACCAGGAACAAACGGCTTCCTGGGGCATCTGTCTGCAAGAGAGTCTCCCATGGATGAAAAGCATGAACTTAGTGATTTAACATAGAAACATTGTCTGTGAGTTGAAGTCACAGCCTCACCTGAGGATCTGGGGCAGGGGTTGTGACCATGTCACTAGGTCTCTGTGTCTTTCACCACGTGCATGGTCTCTGTGCCACCATCCTAATCCTGCCAGCCCCTAGGTCCATATCTGCTCTCCTCTGACATGGCCTCATCTTAACCAGCTGAAACCGCGAAAACTGTTTAGCACATTCTGAGTTCCGTGTGGACATGAACTTAGGACCACTGTTTGTTGCTTGTTGTACTCTTTGGTTCTCCAGGGGCCTGCCACCCAACTCCCAAATATACCTCACACTGGAGCCTTATTCTTAATTGTGAATGCCTGGCCTTAGCTTTGCTTGTTTGTTTGCAGATTTTCTTAAATTATCCCATCTACCTTTTGCCTCTGGGCTTTTTCCTTTTCTTACTTCTGTAATCTTACTTTCACTCTTACTCTGTGGTTGGCTGGGTATCTGGCCCCTTCTTTTCTCAATCCTTCTCTTGTTCCTAGATCTTTCTTTTTCTCCCGTTTATTCTCTCTGCCTGCCACTCCCACCTATCCTTTCTTCTGCCTTGCTATTGGCCATTTACTTCTTTATTAGACCAATCAGGTGTTTTAAGCAGGCAAAGCAAACACAGCCTCACAGAGTTAAACAAATGGAACATAAAAGAATTCCACACATCTTTGCATCACGAAACAAATGTTCCACAGCATAAACAAATGTAACACAACTGCTCACCCCAGGACCTAGTGTTATACCGCTAACTGTTGGCAGCTCAGAACAGCAGGGGACATGGGAAGGAGCCAGCAAGCAGATAGGGTCCCAGAGATGAAGCCAAGAATGAACCCAGAAGCCACCAACGTGTCCATCTGCTGTCACAGAACTAGGCCTCTTCCTCCCCCAGGAAAGCCCCAGTCACTGCTCCCCACTTCAGAGCCCATGATTGGTGTCGATGTAGAACAGTGTGAGTGGTGTCTGTGTGTAGAGTGTGAGTGGTGTCTGTGTGTAGAGTGTGAGTGGTGTCTGTGTGTAGAGTGTGAGTGGTGTCTGTGTAGAGAGCAGGCCCTTGTGCAGTGCTCAGCATGAACCACCACACATGGAAACCCTGCCACTGTCAGCAGAGTCATTTCTTGGAATTAAGAGGCTGTGTTTCTCAAGTCCCTCCCAGGCCTCTATAGGCCATGGCCATGGTGTCCCCATTTGTCACCTCCCTGCAAACCCATGAGAGCTACTTAAAATCACTGTTCACCCCAGAAGATGGCTGAACCCTTGGCCACCAGGGGCCAAACCAGGAGTCAGGCCCATGGGACAAAACCCCTGCAAACCTTCCTGGCTACCATGCTGCAAGGACACTGGCCATCTATCCCTAAGCTGTTAGGGAGTCATTTTTGTGACTCTCTTAGGGCTCTTTTTATCAAATACAACTTAATGATTAAATATCACTGAGGTAGCCGGACTGTGGTGGCCCACACCTTTGATCCCAGCACTTGGGAGGCAGAGGCGGGCGAATCTCTGTGAGTTCAAGACCAGCCTGGTCTATAAAAGCTAGTTCCAGGACAGCCTCCAAAGCCACAGAGAAACCCTGTCTCAAAAAACAAAAAAAACAAAAAAAACCCACTAATGTGCTAGCTGGTCACATTGAAGGATGATCAGTCTAAGCTGCCCCTCAACCACAGCATTCTCCCTGAGGCACCCCAGATCCTGCAGGGTACTGAAGAGCATCCTTGCCTCCACCCTGCCCCAGGGAAAGCCACTGACAGAAGGAAGAAGGGGCTCCCACTGCCTGCACACAGTGCTGAGCACTCAGAACTGTGCAAAGTGGAGCCATAGCCCATTTTCTCCTGAGGCTGGAGCTCACCACCTTGTCTCTGCCCCCCTCACCTGTCAGTGACTCATTGGGGATCCCCAGGAGAGGATGTGAGCCACCTGAGAGGTGGGTGCCCTTGTACCAGGCCATAATTACCTGTTCTG